AGAGGACAGAGTGAGGGAGGTGGTGACTAGTGACAGTCACCACCTCCCTCACTCTGTCACTAGTCACCACCTCCCTCCGTCACTGTGTCACCCCCTCCCTCACACTGTCACCAGTCATCCCCTTACTCTGTCACTAGTCACCCCTCCCTCACTCTGCCACTAGTCACCCCTTCCCTCACTCCCTCACTCTGTCACCTGTCACCCCCCTCACTCTGTCACTAGTCACCCCCTCACTCTAGTGACAGGGAGAGGGAGGGTGTGACTAGTGACAGTGAGTAAGGGTGTGACTAGTGACAGTGAGTAAGGGTGTGACTAGTGACAGAGAGAGGGAGGGTGTGACTAGTGAGAGTGAGGGAGGTGGTGATTAGTGACAGAGGGAGGAATGGGGTTACTATCACTGTGTCACCCCCTCTCTCACTCTGTCACTAGTCACCCACTCCCTCCCTCACTCGGTCACTAGTCACCCCCTCTCTCACTCTGTCACCAGTCATTCCCTCACTCTGTCACCAGTCATCCCTTCCTTCCCTCACTCTGCCACTAGTCATCCCTTTCCTCACTCTGTCACCAGTCATCCCCTCACTCTATCACCAGTCACCCCTTCCTTCCTTCACAGTGACAGAGTTAGGGAGGGAGTGACTAGTGACAGAGAGAGGGATGGGGTGACTAGTGACAGAGTGTGGAAGAGGGTGACTAGGGACAGAGGGGGTGATTAGTGACAGAGTGAGGGAGGGGGTGACTAGTGACAGTGAGGGAGCGGGTGACAGTGTTAGGGAGGGAGTGACTAGTGACAGTCACTCCCTCCCTCTGTCACTAGTCACTCCCTCCCTCTGTCACTAGTCACTCCCTCACTCTGTCACCAGTCATCCCCTCACTCTGTCACCAGTCACCCCTTCCCTCCCTCACTCTGCCACTAGTCATCTTTTCCCTCCCTCCCTCTGCCACTAGTCACCCATTCCCTAACTCTGTCACTAGTCACCCCCTCTCCCTCCCTATGTCACTAGTCACCCCCACTCACTGTGTCTCCCCCTCACTCTGCCACCACTCAACCCCTCCCTCCCTCACTCTGCCACCAGGTACCCCCTCACTCTGCCACCTGTCACAACCTCCCACACTCTTCCACCTGTCACCTTCTCCCTCACACACTGTCACCTGTCACATATGCATTCACATGCATTCACATGCACAAGTGCATTCACACAGACTCAAATACAAACATGCATTGATACACAGGTCTTCACAATATACACATCCAAAGGAATGCTGTATTATGAGTTATATTTAACATTTATTTAATGCACATATATTTGGCCTTCAAAGGGCCTGGGATCTAATTTTGCCCGGGGGCCCCAAAGGCTCTCAGTCCGCCCCTGTATGAGGGGTGTAAGGTGATATTTGAATCTACCAGGGGTGTGATTCATGCAGAGCAGTGATTTTCAACCAATGTGCCGTGGCACTCTGGAATGCCTTGAGACACGTCAAATAGTGCCACAAACACATTAACTTCAGGGCTTTACTAGATTGAATGCAGTCCTTAAACGTATTTTTTTTAACACATGCCAGCATTAAAATAGTGATTTCTGGTGATAAGTTAAAACCATTAAAGGGACACTATAGTCACTAAAACAAGTTTAGCTTAATGAAGCAGTTTTGGTGTATAAATCATGCCTCTAAAGTTTCACTAGTCAATTCACTGCCATGTAGGAATTAAATTACTTTTGTTTCTGTGCTAACCACACATCCCCTGGCTCATTCATTTTCAATCAGATGTAGCTTACTTTAAAATATTTTTATCTCCTGCTTTGTAAATTGAACTTTAATTACATACAGGGTGCTCCTGCAGGGTATAGCAAGCTATTAAAATTGACTGTGCAATAAAGAGAGTGTAAACTTTAGATGACTCTTTACAGGAAGTGTTTAGGAAGGCTGTTTAAGTCACATGCAGGGAGGTGTGGCTAGAGCTGCATAAAAGTGATTTAACTCCTAAAAGGCAGAGAATTGACCAGTGAGACTGCAGGGGCATGATCTATACACCAATACACAGTTTTATTAAGCTAAAGTTGCTCTGGTGATTATACCATCCCTTTAATTCAATTTGGCTACAAGTATGCATATCTCAATACTATAGCTTCAAGCAACTGTGATATTTCGAACCTGCTGATGAAGGTAAAACAAAAGTAAATTTGTGTGCCTTGGAAATTTTTCAATTCCTGAAAAGGTTGGGAACCACTTCTGTAAATATTTCTAAAACAGCCAGTTGGCCTTTGGATGTGGGGGTTATTTTATAACGCACCTCACAGTCTATGTAAAAAGGGTACAGAGCAATACAAAATGTTTTACCCAACCCTTTGATTGTTGCAGCATTGAGGCGCAGTGCAGTCTTCCACTGCCGATTGAGCAAACAAAATATGTATAAATTCTAACTACATTTTGGATATATTGACAATATATGCAGACAGTCATCCAATCCACAGCTTTTCCATCTGCCATATATATACTAGTGAATTGCAAATTACTTTTTAATTATTGCATGACATTTCCTGATGATTATATAGATAATACATTGCTTTACTATTTATTAACTTTCTTCTGAATCTAAATAGTTATTAAATGCCCGTTTATAGCAAGCACGCCTTTCAATATAGGGAATGTCATGCTGCAAGGTGGTCATGGATTTGTCTAAATCCTACAAATTGTTATTTATTTTTTATGCAACAGATGAAGTATATGTGACATTATAGGACCTCCCTCCTCACCTGTTTCAGTCACAGTTGTATGACCCATTCCTTATACCTGTGCTTTCCTGCTTCTGTGTTCTTGTACAAATTGTTGAAGCTATTTGTTGAAAAATACATGTTGTACTTTCTCCAAGGAATGTATTCTCGAAAAGTTAAGTTGGCCTGAGATATGCAACGATAGGTGAATGCACCAATATTCTGTTCTTACATGCTTTTCTTTTCCTGAGAAACATTGGCGTTCAGCGTGAATAGGGCAATATTTATAGCCAGTAACCCATTTTGGATCCCAGTGTCTTTAAGGAAAACACAAGAAAGCGTTTTTTAACCCCTTCCCGACCGAGGACGGTTCAGGACCGTCATCGGGATTTTCCCATTGCGGACCGATGACGGTCCTGAACCGTCCTAACGGTTTCCGTTACTTACCTGATCGCCGTCGTTCCCCCGGCAGCGATCAGCGTGGCTCCGGTTGTGGGGAGACTGCCTGCAGCCCAGACAGTCTCCCCACGGCAGATTAGGACCCCTGTGGCCATGTGATCGCTCAACACAGCGATCACATGGTCACAATAGGTGTCCATGTATCTGCCTGCAGGGGGACTGTCTGTGCTGACAGGCAGTCTCCCTGCTAGTGTAAAATCATAAAATAAAATAAAGTTAATGGTAATAAAAAAAATAATAATAATTATATATGTGTATATATGATATATAGACATATATTATATCTATATAATATATGTCTATTTATCATATATATAATGCCATACTAAGTGTATTTTTATATTAATATGTACTTATATTAATATAAAAATACACTTATAATTAAATTACACACGTATATATATAATATATATAATAACTATATAGATTGTATATATATATTATTATAAAATATAAATAATAAGTATTTTAAATTAAATAAAAAATTTTTAAAATAATAATAAAAAATTTAAAAAAAATTATATAGCTATATGAAATTTTATTCTAACTGTATTTTAAAATTAATATATATATATTTATATCAAAATACACTTAGAATTAATTTTTATATATATCTATGTATAAAAATAAATAAAAATAATAAGAAATATACATACGTCCATATACAAAATTACATAAATAATTATATAAATATACACGTAGACTTCAAATATATAAATATGCATATATATTTAAATTCTGCGTGCGTATTTATGTAATATTTTTACATAATTCAGTAATTTTATTGATTGCAATTTGCCAACCCAGGCCGAAATTCCAGAGAATTTAATTTGCTAGCACTGTATTTTACCTTGTAACGTTCTACGACACCCTAAAACCTGTACATGGGGGGTACTGTTTTACTCGGGAGACTTCGCTGAACACAAATATTAGTGATTCAAAACGGTAAAACATATCACAGCGATGATATTGTCAGTGAAAGTGACTTTTTTTGCATTTTTCACACACAAACAGCACTTTTACTGATGATATAATTGTTGTGATACGTTTTCCAGTTTTGAAACACTAATATTTGTGTTCAGCAAAGTCTCCTGAGTAAAACAGTACCCCCCATGTACAGGTTTTATAGTATTTTTGAAAGTTACAAGGTCAAATACATGGGTCAAATATTTTTACATTGAAAATGGCCAGGTTGGTTACGTTGCCTTTGAGAGCATATGGTAGCCCAGGAATGAGAATTACCCCCATGATGGCATACCATTTGCAAAGAAGACAACCCAAGGTATTGCAAATGGGGTATGTCCAGTCTTTTTTAGTAGCCACTTGGTCACAAACACTGGCCAAAATTTGCGTTCAATTTAGTTTTTTTACTTTTTTCACACACAAACAAATATGAATGCTTACATTGGCCAGTGTTTTCGACTAAGTGGCTACTAAAAAAGACTGGACATAACCCATATTGAATACTCTGGGTTGTCTACTTTAAAAAAAATATGTACATGTGGGGTGTTATTCAGAGATTTATGACAGATAATAGTGTTACAATGTCACTATTGATAAATTTTAAAAATGCATGTTTTGAAACCGCAATATCCTACTTGTACCTATAGCCCTATAACATGCAAAAAAAAAGCAAAAAAGCACGTAAACACTGGGTATTTTTAAACTCAGGACAAAATTTTGAATCTATTTAGCAGTTTTTCTCATTCGCTTTTGTAGATGAGTAAAAGATTTTTCAAGTAAAAGTCAAAAAACATGTATTTTTTTCAATTTTTCATCAGATTTTTTTATTTTTTTTAAATTAAAATACATGAGATTATATAAATAATGGTATGTAAAGAATGCCCCTTTTGTCCTGAAAAAAACAATATATAATTTGTATGGGAACAGTAAACGAGAGAGCGGAAAATTACAGCCAAACACAAACACCAGAAAAGTGTAAAAATATTCCTGGTCGCAAATGTACAACATCGCAAAAACAGTCCAGTCCTTAAGGGGTTAATGTCATAGGGAATCAAAACAATAAAAATTTGATATTTGTAAATAGTGAATTTACTAACTCCGACTTCTGTCCTTCAGATATCCATCTAGCTCTAGCACTGCCTCTTATATAACTTTATTTTTTTTATTGTTGGCAATTGAACAAATATTCTAAATACGATTAAGCAAACATTGTAACTCTTTGAAGTAGCAATGCCATCACTGGGTAGATGCACATCCCTGATTTAATGATATGTCACTCTGCCCTGATCACAGTATGGAGGTCAGTGTCAGATTAGAGTTGGGGATGCATTCAGACACA